CAACTACCTTAACTTTGTGTCCAAAAAATCGACGGCTCCCGCAGAGATGGTATGCGATCAAGATTCAGCGCGGGAGAAGTCCCAGTCAAGGGTGTATTTCTATGTTCGGGCCTTGTCTTGCAAAGTCTTTCTTCAACTTGTCTCGTCGCAAGAAAATCCACGTCCACGTTTTCCAGTCAATATGGCCGTTCGTCTCTCTCCCGCTATCTTTGGAGCGATTTTATTGACTCTCAATCTATTTCAGCGCCGTCAACCTCCGAATCCTCCTCTGGAGCATAAATGTAGCTACGCAGAGGATGGCGAACGGTGCAAATGGAGCTTCGATAGACGGTTCGACTGCAATAGGCACGAGCGAAGGCACCTTACAGGTATAGCTCGAGAGGAGATGTAAGTGATTCAATTTCTCCAAGGCACCTGGACCGTCGTCTAACAAGATTCAATACAGTCTCCATCGTTGTCCACTCGGCGGCGCTTGCCGTCACCGCTTCAAAACCCTCCAACTAGGTAACTTGAGAGCGCATATCAGGAATGTTCAGTAAGTTCTTGCGTGGTCTTCTCCTCCGTTTGGCTCATGAGACTTATGTCACCAGCGAGGACATGCGGGATTTGATATGCCAAGTCTGCAGGCCGTTCGTGCTTGCTACCGACTCAGAAGATTTGGCACGGCATCAGGCGGAGCAACATAGCGGACAGCTCCCAGCACCACAACATCGCACTGTCGGCGATGCCACCCTTCCACCTACTCCAGTGTCATCTCCCCCAGCTGTCCCTTCGTCTAGTACCTCAGAGCGGATCACGTTGGCGCCACCCACCACCATAGACCATGACAGACTCAGACTCACCCCAGCCCCTCTAACGCGCCCTCACTGCTCGTTTGAGATTGTGCACGCCCAACCGCCACTCCCGTCACAGTGTCCAAGTCTCAGGCCTATCGTCCCCCCTTGCCGCCCTCACAATGCGCGAACGCCTTACTCCAGAATACATTCCAGGATGATTCCAACACTCCGCGACTTTCTCCGCGACACCTGTGGCATCGAGCTCACTCAGTGTCACAGACTCCCTTCACCACCGACTAGTGGCTCCTCCTAGTCCGAGTTGACAGCAAGTGGGAGCTCGTCCCCTTCGCTTAACGATGCTAGTGCAATCTATCTAATCTAGTCATCTATCCCCTCCCAACCAAATTGGCGGCACTTCATATTACAGACATTTATGTTTTGGAGGACGTGCTTTTTACTCTGCTTTCTCATTGTTGTCACTATTTCTCCCGTTAGTACTGCTTTTTTCTCATTTATTTTTAACCATACCTACTTGTCGTCGTTACATTCCACCGTGTTATTGTCCTTGTTTTCCTATGCTCATGCTATCAAAAATGTACTCGTCATCCTTGTGAAGTACTTACAGTTTACAATTCTACTCACTCAATGTCATCAATATGTGAGCTCGTCGCATACCACCATTCTCATTATTATGTTCATTCGGGTAATTCCCGTATCGTATACGTCTCGACGGTGTCTCGGGGCTAACCCATGACACGAAGGCCTAGTTAACACTATTTAAATATAAATCAGCAAGTCGTTTCGCAACCCAGCAAGCTGGTTGCGATAAGATTTATTGGCACACGAATCGACGGTGAAGAAATCCATGCTTCCACCCTACATGCTTCAGTTGGCTCTTGGATAGATATGCATTGTAAAGACACAACCTGGAAGCCGGTACTTTCGATAATTAGCCGATCGTGCTCCCAGAGTAATGAAAACCTGTATATCTCCAAGCGCACGAATACCCGACGATAATTAGCAGACCGTGCTCCCGGAGTGATGAAAGTGTACTATTCTTCGCCCGGAGCACGGATTAAAAACACATGCATGCTTGCTCACCCATTCTCAGTGTTCGAGTTACTTTGTTGGATTCGGCGTATAAGTAGAATCTGAGCACCGAGATTCAGTTTTCGTGCAGACGTAAGATGGAAGGCATGGCTGCGGATTTTGAACGCGAAGGATCACGGTAGCAGCAAAACTAAAATTGGGTGGCTTACAACCAGCATTCAGTATATCCAATGACGATTTGCTTCTGAGCCGGCGACCAGGGAACTGCAGCGGGGAGGCATCAGTGAGAATGATTTGAAAACGTAGTAGTAAACCAATGCGTACAAGTGAGTCGAGGAGCTTGCATGTCCGTCAACATATCAGATAGTCTGATTCTTAGACAGAAAAAACATTCGACGAGCAACACGCCTTCTCGTCCTTGATGAACTAAGGATCAACAGTTCATACGTCACACGAACATAGTAAGTTCCCCAGAAGTACTTATAGTATTTGGGGAGCAAAACACGATAGTATGACATCTGCCTAAGCGTCAGATAAGAGAAAGAAGAGGATACAGGAGAGCGTACAGGTTATATGACGACTACAATCCCATCCGGAAGGTTGAGGTAGAGTAGCGAACTAGGAGAGGCGGTCAGGGAGAGCCTCAGGAAAGGAAAGGCGACTCACGCATTACCAGACTTTCCTGGTTCCAACTATGTCTATAAACAGTTTCTGGGGAAGGCGTATGGCCTAGATAACAAAAGGCGGTCGGTTAGAATCGCCGTTCAGAGATACCCGCGCACATACCAGCGTTGAATTCCTTCTTCTTTTGGCTCGGGCGTTTTTTCGTTGCTGCCGCTTTTGAATGTCGGATTTTGAATGGATGAAATAATACTGCCGCTTACTGCTCTTCTTCGTCACGACAGACACTGGGCTCTGCTCCGCCTCGCCTTTGAGCGATGCCTTGGTTTTTGTTTCTCGTTTCTGGTACCGGTCCTTGAAGGCGCGACGGAGGGCGAGATTGATCTGTAGAGTGGATATCATCGCAGAAAGGCGAGTAGTTTAGGGTAGTTTGTGGGTAATGATGGTGGTGGTAGGTGAAAGAAAAGCGACTATTTGGAACAAAGTCTCGCTGCCATTTTGGGCCAGCGCGTCGCTTCTGAAACTAGAATTAGAGAATTGAATAGTATTCAAAACAATCAAACACACTCGGATTTCGTTCGACCAGGAAAACCCAAATATGACCTGTGGATCAAACGCGAGACCCTGGGGATTCGGTATCATTGTTACATGGATTTGCTGTGCTATTGCAGACTGTCATCGTCGACGAGTTCGTGCGTAGCTGGAGTTATTTTGTGCACATTCGAGTCTTCATCGCATTGCGGGAACTCTGTGGGAAAAGCGCCATTCAAAGAGCGAGCCAGCGATGGTGATGGCAAGAAGCAAGAAAGGAAGTCAATTTCAAAATCAATAACTTTCCTTGATCTACCATCTCACCGCTCACGCATCGCGGTCGGTTCACTATCATCCTCCTAGATCACCGCAAAATTGGTGAGGCGGTATGTCCAGCTATTGAAGAACCTCAGGGAATGGTATTGAGGAAGCACAATAATTTTTTTAAGCAAGGTCTGGTATTTCCTCCCCCGCTTCAAAAATCAAAACCACTACCGTGACATCGTACTCTTCTAACATAGGTATGTGTTCGGACCTCCAAACGTGCCTCACAGTGTACTTCGTTCACCTTTAGAACACGGCAGGTTCCCTCCTTTGAGGGAGGCATCAGTTCTAGTGCACAGCCGTAATGCGCTCAGGCTGACGTTGATCGTCGTTGCGAGAGAGTCGAGAGTGCGTGTAACTACGTGATGACATGAAATGGGAAAAAGAGCCATGAAACCGAGGTGCATGAAAAGCACACATGCGATTTACGAGGCCGTGTCCTATTCAGGAAGGACGCGTGGGCACCTTATACGCTGTCCTTGCTTCCAGGAGACCTGTGTACGCGTCAGACTAGAGGGAGGAGAACGCGAGCGCGAGAACGCACAAGTGCTGGGAGGCACAAAATTAGAAAAAGCTCGACTGAGAAAAGCGGTCAAGAACCAAGAATAAATTTCAGCCAATGGACTTGATGTCGCTGTCTCCATCATCGTCAACCCTTCTGCAAATTGCTCCGCCCGCCTCTCCTAACTTCTCTATTGAAATAGCACAAGATCCAAGGCACAATGTCCTGGCAGCGTCGCACTCCTCTGTGTCAAAGTACTACCTGTCTCCCAAGCCTTTTTTACGCCTGCCCTTGCCACCGATCCTTGATCACTTATAACCACTTCAGAGAGATACCCTCATGAATCATGGAGCTTCTCGGAGCCGCTTCCGTCTCCTGCAGGCCTCATTCTTCCCCGCCCGCCTTTTCCGAACTTGAATGGAGTTGGAAAGGAATGAAGGGAGGAGCAACTGAGGGTTATTGATACATCGACTTACGAAAATCACCTCTGCCGCGACTCTGAGTCCTGCCAGCCATTCGTACAACGAACGATGACAGACGCCGCTCGCAATCATGCCTTGGCACCCTTCCCCCCGCGCCATCCGAGTCAATCGCCCTCGCCCGTGCCCAAGCAAAACTCCGCCATCCCTTCCGACCGAACCACGAACCACAACGCCTTCATGTGAATCCTCCGCTATCCCCTCTTTCAATCCCTCCCCCTTGTTCCAGCCACGAGTTTGGCGAGCTCTCGCTAGCATCTGAGATCGTTACAGGACCTTCGGAACCAACAAATAATGATAACGGCAATGTTAATGTCGGTGTCTTTGGCAGATATCGTATTCGTCCACTGTCAATAGCGAGTGTGTCTTACTCTCGCTCCTTAAGAGACATGGTTCTATTCCCACTGGCAAGGTCCATCTCTATTCCGTCGTATTAATTTCCGTTGACATTTTCCTACCTGCCACTCGTTGCAGCCAGCGTTCTCTGATTGCTACGTCCTTGGTCTCTCTACCGTATAATCCTGCTTGTATTGGACATCCCGATTTTGCTATAAAGATCGTATTAGCTGATTCGTTGTCATATTATATGGCAGTCACCGAGCTAAACGATTTGAACGACTTTTTTTTATCATTGTAAGTGAAATACTGTCTGGACATGTCCTGTAGATAGCCATGGTGCTTGGATTGCACATCTGAAATTCAAACTAAGCTCGTCGTGGCGCTATGGTGTAGTGGCAGCACATGGGATTCTGATAGTTACTATCTTCCCATAACCCAGGTTCGAACCCTGGTAGTGCCTCCTGAGATTTTTCCTTGGATGGAGCCGAGGTCGCAGTATTCCAGGTTTCCTCGTATATTTTTGCGGCCCGCTCGCTCGCATTGCACATTCCCACGTGCCAGGCTCGGCAGGAGACCTTCAAACGCCCTCCACAACATTCAATTTACAATTGATTATTCCACGGTATCCCGGCTAAAGAAATCGCTTCAGGACTAGCAGCTTTGTACTTTTGCGAGAGGTACAACACGTTATGGGGTGGGTAGTTCGTCTGTCTTGAGTCTTGACATAACATTGAAAATAACAATATCTATTAATTCCATTGATGACTCCATATCCCCGAGACGTTAAAACACTTCTACAGGACGTACTCCCGTTCGACATACCTTTGGTTCTCTAATCCTCCCAATATATTTAACAATACGTCGCCCACGGCGTCAGGCACCTCTTGAACGACCTGCTCTCATCAGTCTCTGTATGAAGTGAGACCAGTGGCAAATACATACCAAGTGTCCGGCTCTCGGTATTCTGGTAACAGAGGCGAACTTGCGCCCTCGAAGGAGGGATTCTTGTTTTTCCCGGGTGCTAACGGCACGATCAGACTCCATACGGTGAATACAAATGAGTGACGCACAACAAATCATTCCTCTCCCCGTAGACCAGATGCACCGGCACCTTCCTCCTCGTCTTGTCCAGCTCTGCGACCGGGTACACTGCATTTATCTGGTTGATGAACGGCTGAGCCTCGTGCTTAGGACAACACCTGAGGGACACTCCTTCCTTGTCCTCCTCGAAACCGTGTTCCTGGTTGAATAAGTTGATATCAATCAATAACTGCGGCACCTGTTTTTACCCACAACATATAAATCCAAGATCCGCTTATCCCAGGTTCCCCAGGGTGCGCGCTTCCCTAGATCTTTACGGACGGCGTCCCTGCTTTCCCACGTTTTCCGCCGGCGTGGGATAGCGACACATGCGAGCTTGTAAGCAGGCGAGTCTGCCATGTCGATCATGGATCCTGGCCAGATGGCAGGTTCAATAAGTATTAAGGCCGAAAAAGGCGGAGTCCTGGATTGTCGATAGAAAGATGGTACTAACGCTCTGTGCAGTTGGTGTTAATCTACCGTATTGGAAGGATATCGTTCTCAGGGACGCTCACACAGAGGCAGCTCCTGCCGAATGGCCAACGAGCACAATTGGATGACGCGTGCCGTTCAGATGGGTCTTGCACAGATTCGCACATGCTTCAGCGAGATGATACGAACCTATCATTGTTAGCTACCGCCCCATCTACAGCAATTCAAACTTACTGTAGGTGAACCCCGGTTCATCGATGGCGTCTCTGTTAAGTGTAGCTGCCGCACCATGGGTCTGCGAGTCGATGGCCCAGGCTTCGACGACGGGCCCACCGTGGGCATACAGGCGTTCGATAATTGGCTCCCAGTGCTCTTTATCTGTTCTTTTTGATCAGTAGGAAAATGTGAAGGAGAAAATAGACGTACGGAATCCAGTCCCATGCGCGAAGATCAAGATGTAACCCTCCTTGGTAGCGGTAGGCGGGTGGTACCGCTTCGCAGTAGAGACGAGTGGGGTTCCAGTGCCATATGTGTCAACGATGAACTCGGTTACATTCATGATTGCGTGTGGGTCAAGGAAGGATGGCGCCACAGATGCTGGTTATATACCTGAAGTTCCCTTACATTCGGTTACCCGACTGTGGAATCCGAATCGCAGCGGCAACGAACATGTTGTTTTGTACATCCGTGTTGTGGAAACAAGAGTTGGCAGTGTTGATAACGCTCATGGTAGCAGGTAGGTAATGGTGAATATATACACCGCTCTTATACCGCTGTAACAACTAAATACTATACAAAGGCTCGCTCAGATCCGGGTTCAACTCCAAAGAGGGTGGAAAGCTTACGTTGTACTATGCGTCGACGAGTTTATTTTTGAAAACACTTCAATAGCCCAAGCGACGATAAGCACGGCGGCCGCCGTCATGACTAAAGAAAGAAAAGTGTCGGGCATCAGTTTCGAGTAATTATACCCAGTAGGAAGGTGGGTGTCCCGCGGAGATGCTCCCAGATGGCACAACCAGTTTTCGGTGGGATTCGAGATTTTCTGTAAGATTACCTTCAAGGGGCGCTGCCGAGTTGGTTAAATTTTCAGGCGCCCCTGCGCTGTGGTATATGGGCCCACTGACCGCTGTTCTCCTAGCCGTCGCAGAACTCAACATGAACAAAGAGTGCAAGGTACTCCTATGAGGGCCACCCGTCGAGCTGTATGTGAAGTCAACAACTTGAAGCTGAACTTCGAGGGCTGGGGATTAAAACATACATTTCAGAGAGGTAGAGACCAGAACGGGTATGGTCCATGGGAGGTGGACAACCGTCATGGCAACCCGAAAGTCGGAGATGCGATGCCAATACCGAACTAGGTATGGATCCAGGAGCAGGCAAGATTCCCTGATCTTACCAAACAACGCGATCTTATCACCCGTTTTGGGCCCCCCTCTCCGTTTTCGGAATTAAGCTCGCCGCAGAGATAATTGTTGACAATCAAATCAAATTCCCATCTCCCCGGCTATGCATGCATACCACTACTACGATAAGTCCATGAAACGAATGTCATGTAGATACTTGAAGAGAAATAAAATAAAATAAGAAACCACACCAAAAAAACAAATCCTACAACCCACTCTCCTCTTCGGTCATTCTTCAAACCGAGAAGTCAAACTTCTGGTCCGCGGAGTCGTTGCAGCTAGCCAACGTCAACTGAGCACCGGGTTGGTTCGTGGACACACAACCCGTTAGTGTTGGAGGTGATGCTGCATCCCGAGGCGACTAACGCCCTTCTTGCCGGAAATGCCCGTAGCACACGTCGAGCAGTCAACCATCCACTTCTGGTTCCTGTATATGGGGTCAATTATGGAAATACGTCAAAAACCAGAAAGAACGTACGCATTGCTACCTGACGGGTCGACATTGGCCATAGGCCAAGAGCTGCACCATTGAGTTGGACGGCGAAGTTGTTGTTTTCCACGGTCCTGTGAGAATCTCATAAGTAACAGGTTCGAAATAAAGGTAAAGGATGCGTACTTGACGGTGTAGCTGACAACGGGGTTCCCGTTCTGCTGGAAGAAGAACTTCGAAGGCGAAGGTCCAGTAATGACGGGCGCACCGACGGCGGGCTTGGCTGACCACGAGTTTGCGCCACTCGGGGTGGTCACAGTGAGAGCAGCACCCTCAAAGTTGGGATGACAGCCTGGGGTGACACCACGGGCGGCCAAGGGCGACGCGGAAGCGGCAGTGAAAAAGAGAGCGGAGATGAAGAAGAGGATTGAAGAAGACATTGAAGATAAAGTTAAAAAGTAACAGATGAAAATGATCAGTTTTCAAGAAGACGAAGAAGATCAAAAGGCTGCAAGTAGAAGTTGGAAAAGGTGATGAGATTTGAAGGTGAGTAGATGGCGGCTTTATAGCGATTTAGCGACCAGCTGACGCGCTCGTACCACTCTGGGTCGTGAGCGGTGTATGGGAGGCTGTACTGGATCGGGAAGGGCTATGAGCGACGTAATGACAAGGTTTAGGATCGACTGTATTCACCAGCGGATATGTTTTGCTTCAGCCGCGATCCAGGAGTCGAACGCGGCCGGGAGGAACTGTTCCCGCGGTCGTTTCAGATCGCGCGCGCGCCTCCGATGTAGGTAAGACCGTTGGCTGAACGTACGCTCAGCGCTGTTGATAGACATCGAAGCACTCTAGGCACCCTCCTGAAGAGCATCATCAGCGGCAGTCTTCCAAAGTGAATTGAGCAGCGAAATGTAAGACGAAAGTTTCAGTAACAAAAAGTTGAGGTCGTGCGTACTAACAAGGTATCCGGTATTTTGGGTTCAGTTGCAACACCACCGTTCTTCAGGATCAAAGAAGGATACATGCAATCCTCTAAATGGCATAGTCTGAAGGCATGCTATGAACACGCGTCCCGAAAAGAGACGAAGGTCAAAGGGGACGGAAACGTTTCATAAGAATATAGGGCGTTCTCGGTCCGCACACACAGGTCGAAATATGCAGAATATTCGTCTCGAATCGGTCAATACGCACAGGTTTATCTCCTCGATTGCGAAGCGTACGGAAAGCGGATCCAGCAATAGACATCAGTGACTCGAGCGCCTGAAAAAAGTCAAACCGTAAGCAATGATCATTGCATTCTAGAAGATGGGAAGGGAATAAGAGTCTCAGAGTCGTATACGAAAATATCGTCAAGCCTAGCGGACTAGGTCGTACTCATTAAAATCAGTTTTTATGGAATCATTGAATAGGGAAAAGGTGCAATAGCCTCAGAGGGAGGGTAAGAGTCATTGTACGCGCCATAGTTTCCGTGCGTCAAAGGATCGGACTTCGTGATTTTAGGTAGCGTATAGGGTGAAGCCCTAGGGATGTAATGTCTGCGGAAGCATAGACGGTGAGCAAAATAGCCACAAAACACAGAAGACAAAAGCTCAGAAAAATAAAATAAAAAAGATATCGTCAAGCCCAGCAAGCCGGGTCAGGTTCATTAAATCAGATTTTGGTTTGAAATCATTGGAAACTGGAAATGAATTCAAATACTCACCATCTCAACCAACGCTTCTAAATAAAAAATAGTTGGCTATGAGGAATCGATAATTTCGCTGGGCACAGTGTTTGGAGGGCAAGGTAAGGCGGTGAGGGAGGTGAAAAGAGGAAGCGCCGGATATACCCGACAGAATTTTTTTTCTATCTCCGAAAGGCTGCTGGCGGCCCGCAGAAGCGATACGGACCGTTTGACTGTTCCCGAGGAGGGCAAAATCAGGGTACTGTTAAATCCCAAGTGCATGCAAGCTCCAAGAGCTTTCGGCTGGACAGCGAAAAATGATTAAGAGAGTGCCACACGCTGAGAAATAACCCGAAATTTTCGTGGAATAAGACGTCAATGATAATCCTCGACGTAGGGCGCGAATAAAGTCCATACGCGTTCCCGAGCCTCCTAGGTACATCAATTAC